ATGCTTTTGAGGCCCATGTCGGCCGCAGTGCTTTGTTTCACACTTCCATGCATTCCATCCGTCCTTAAAAATGCCAGCTACAGAGTGCTGAGGCTGCCTTGCCTGGTGCTGTGCCCTGAGGACTAAGCCCACACTGTCTGTCCTGCAGAGGGGCCTGGCCTTCAGTGTCGTGGTTCAGGCCTACTTGAAGTCAACGGCTTCACATTAAAGCAGAGACAAAGAGCAACCTTTGTTTTGCTTAAGAAAGGCCAAAGTGGCTCACCTCCAGGCATGTCAATCTAATCTCACATTTGTACAAACTCAGAAAAATGATAACCCAAAGTGAAGGCCTCGTAAGCAGAGTTTGCCTCTGACCTGTCTCTGCTCTTCATTCTTCCTGGAAGCAGGTCATAAAAACTAGAATTCTTCTTCTCCAAGGCAGGTCATAGAAATGAAGAGTCCCTCTTCCTCAAAGCCAGCCATAACACCTAAAAGTACTGCTATAACCTCCCCTCCCACACCCTTGTAAAAGCTTAACAAAATAATTCCATTTACAATAGCATCGAAAAGAATATTTGGAAATAAACTTACCTAAATAGGCAAAAGATAGGCACACAAAATTACAAAACATTGCTGAAACAAATTAAAGAAAACATAATAAAAAAGAAAGATGGCATATGGATTCGAAGACAGCATTGTTAGAATGTCAATACTACCTAAAGCAAGCTACAGATTTAATGCAGTTCTTGTAAAATTGCCAACTGTTTTAGCAGAAAGAGGAAAATTCATTGTATAATTTGTATGATGTCTCATAGGACCTCAAATAGACAAAGCAGTCTTGAAAAATAACAGTAACTTTGGAGGTCTTATACTTCTGATTTTAAAACTTAGAGTAAAGTTACAGTAATCAAAATAGTGTGGTACAGGAGTAAAGATAGATGTATAGATCAATGAGATAAAACAGAGAGCCCGGGAATAAATCCTTACATATATAGTCAAAAGATTTTTGTCAAGGGTACTAAGACCATTCAGTGGGGGAAAGGATAGTCTTTTCAACAAATGGTGCTGGGAAAACTGGATATCCATATGCCAATGAACTAAGCTGGACTCTTCTTGGACCATATACAAAAATTAAATCAAAATAGACCAAGGATATAAATGTAAGAGCTTACATTATAAAGCTCTTAGAAAAACTATTTGGGTAAAAGCTATATAACATTGTATTTGGCAATGATTTTTTTGGATATGACACCAAACTCAAGCTTCAGCTTTGTGTGGGCTACCTATAGCTTGGTGGTTACGTGAGCTGGATCTTACATGATCAGTTGTGCGATTTGAATCCTGGACCTGGCAGTTTGAAAAACACACTGGGTGCATGTGCATGTGTACCCAAAATCTTGACAGGAGGAAAAAATGTAGGAGAGGGCATTATGGTGTAACCATTCCCCTTAAGGGTGCTTTCTCTCACTCTCTTGCAAGTATGTGGCATCTTCTAGCAAATTAAAACAGAAAACTTACATGTATCAAAGGATACAATCAACACATGAAAAGGCAACCTATAGAATGGGAGAAAATATGTGCAAATCATGTTTCTCATAAGGGGTTATTATCCAGAATATATAGAGAACTTCTAAAACATTGTCAACAATAACAAAAATCTCAACTAAATATGGGCAAAGGACTTGAAAAGACATTTATCAAAGAAGATACAAAATAACCAATAAGCACAAGAAGAAAATAGTCAAGATCACTAGTCACTAGGGAAAGGTGAATTCAAACCACAATGAGATGCCACCTCACACCTATTAGGATGTCCACTATGCCAAAACAACCACAGGACAGTGAGGATAGTGCTGGTGAGGATATGGAGCAGTTGGAACTTTGTGTACCATTGATGGGAACCTAAAACAGTGCAGTAGTTTGTCTTTTAAAAGTTCATGGAAAATGCATGTTGTGAAAAAACTGGATTTCAAAAAAAATTTAACCAAAATAAACTCATACTTTAATTTCACTTTCCCAAAAATTTTCTGAAGTCCACTTGTATACCCACAAGAAAGTAGGATCTTAGAAAGATATTTGCACACCCATACTCATAGCAACATTATCTGTAATAGCTAAGAGTTACAAGGAACCCAGGTGTCCACTGACAGATGAGTGGATAAACAAAATACAGTGTATCAATGTGATAGAATATTAGCCTTAAAAAGTCAAAGTCCAAACTATGCTACAACATGGTGAAATCTGAGGACATTTTGCTAAATGAAATAAACCAATCGTGAAAGACAAATACTATGTGATCTCACTTGTGTGAGGTACCTAGAAAAATCAAACTTATTGAGAAGGAAGTAGGATGGGAGAGACTGGGGAAGAGGGACATGAGGAGTCCCTGTTTAGCGGGTACACAGTTTCAGTTTTGTGAGATGAAAAGTGTTCTGGAGATCCACTTCATAACAATGTTAATACACTTAACACTACGCAACTGAACATTTAAAAATGGTTAAGATAGTAAATTTTATCTTGATGTATTTTGTCAAAATTATTAGAATTGGAAAAATAAACCAGATCTTTCTCTGTATTTTTTTAAGCAATAAAATGTGCTCCAAATAGGTGGGAGAATGAAGGAGGGTAGGGAGGTAGGGCCCCTTACAATAGTCCCTCCCAGGGCAGAGCCAGAGGCCTAGGCTGGGCTTCACAGGATCTGCTCCCTTAGACTTGGGTCAGTGTGGGGTCAGAGTCCAGCAGAGCTGGGTTCACTTCCTACCACAGCCCCTCCTCAGCCCTCTGCCCAGAGCCCACAACTGGGCTGCCTGACTGGGTCTCCTCATCTGTTAAGTGAGGAAATACCACCTACTTTGTAGAGTTCTGAGGACTAAATGAGCTCAGATAGCACATAAACTACTTAGCTTGGGGCCCAGTGCACTCAGCTGATACGCAAGGCCCACAGGGATCCAAAGCTATGTGACATCATAGCCACTGTGTGAGCTGGGAATTAGCCCCCAGGAGAGATGCCATCCTCAAAGACTCTCTTGTCCTTCTCCCTCTCTCCTTGGTCTGCCTCTCCACTCTCAGGAGACTTCTTTTAATCCCCACAGTAAGGAAACAGTGGCCATCCTGGGCTGAGTCCCCGCTGTGTGCTGGCATCTTACAGTTCCTAGTCCAGAGTCCAGGCTTTTTCCAATAACACTTGCCAAGTTGTATCCATGTCGCTAGTTCCCGAGTCTGGCAGCACCTTCCCTGTCCTGAACAGAAGACAATGGCAGAGAGGCTTCCGAGAGCAGCCCCAGCACAGCACGGCCCGCTCTTCAGTCCAGCTCAGGCTGATAAGCCTGTCTCCATACGCCTTGAGCCATAGCTTCGTGAAGGCAGATGTCTCATGCAGCCCGAGGGCTCAGGCAGGGCGTCTGTGCACTGGGACCTGCAGGCTTCTCACCATGGGCTTTCCTTCTCTTGTAATTT